GATTTTAGCTAAAGGGTTTTATGCCTTTAAAAAAAAACAGTAATCAGAGCTTTCTGAACACTCGCTCACTCGCTTGCTTGCTTTCATCTCTTCTGTTTATGCACATAGAGCCCCTAAGTGCATGAGGAGCACAACTGAAATCTGTATAACAGGCTTCCTACTTTTTTTTACATCTCATTTTGAAAGGACAGGTCTACCAGAGGCTGGATAGAGTCAAGAAACAACCTTTCTTGATCTAATTAATCCGTCATCATGTATATGTCCTCCTTGGAAAAAAAAGTTAACATAGTTCTTCATGGCATACACAAATTGATTTGTGGCATTTACTGCAGAGTGAAGGCTGCTGCTTAATCATAGACTGAGTCGGTAGCAGCACACCTTTCATGAGAACTACCGCTACTGGCAATGTAACTGCTGTATCCAATAAATAAAATTCAGGCTGCCAGTTCAGATTGTTCTCTACATAACCTGTCTGAAGGAAAACTCCCTGGAAGGCCTAGAAAATGTCATGCAGAGTATTCCAAAATGGATCCTGTAATTTATGTTTTTTTGTAATCTGAGGAAATCATGGCAGCATTTGCAAGAACGGCCAGTATCTCTGTGAAAGCACTGTGTCTAAGGAGACACAATTCTATGGAACAAAACTTCTGTGGATTTAATATGAGATGATAATGCAGAGAATGGCTATACTGTGTCCTTCACTAAGCAAGGGGATCCTCACATGTGGAGAGATTTTTTTTTTTGGTAGAATGAAAAGGAGAAGGGAAGAGACTTCCAATTCTTTTAATAAAACAGGATGCGTGTCAGTTTGTTTTCCATGGTTTTATTGCCTTCATTGCCAAGACTTAAAATGCAGAGGGCAAATTCTGGCTCTTAATTGAGGACCTGATCCAAAGCCCATTGAACTCAGTGCAAGGTGGATTTCAGATAAGACCCAGGGAAACTACATCCAAACTTGTGTTTTATACCAGGGTTTGTCAACCAGGGGTACAAGTACTCTTGTGGGTATTTGTGAAAGCCCTAGGGGATATGCGCGGGTGGGTGGCGATGGAGCACCACCACCTACTACCCTGCACCACTGCCTCCCAGGAGCAGGGGAGGGGGAGGGCAGCAGCACCCCTCTGCGGGGCACAGAGGCACCACCCAGCTGGCCAGATGCTGTGGGGGAGCTCACACATGGCAGCTGCCAGCACCACCAACCACCCCACGCTGTCACTGCTCTGTGTGTGCCCACTACCACCTCCTGCCCTGCTCCACATCTTGCCGCACACCACCCCTTCACTCCGCATCCGGCTGCTGGGGGTACGCTTATTAAAAAAGGTTGAAAACCCCTGTTTTATACCAAGATATTAAAAGAGGACAACTGTGAGCAAATGCAATCTGTAGACAACTGCTTTCCAGGCCTGATCAAAATTGCATTGAATTCAATAGGACTCTCTCCATTGTGTTTGGATTAGATCCTCGGAGAACTTCATGTTGTTTTTACTGGGATTTTACAAGGCTTCTTATACTTACATTAACTTGGGCAGGAAGCTATGCTTACAGAGGTACAATCCCAAATTTATACCAAAATATTTGGCATCTGTTTCATATACAATTATCTAAGAGTACAGAGCTTTTGTACCCAGAACCCAGCCTACAGACTAATCTGTTTCAAGGTTCTTCTCTCTCTCTCTCTCTCCCTCTCTCTCTCCTGTTTATGGTAGCATCACTTTAGTGGCACTGTTGAAATAACACAATCCATTTGAATTAAAAGCAAGCATCAAGTGAAGTGTGACTAGCTTTCAATGCAGACTTTTTTTCTTTGCTGCTGTTTACAGGTGAAATAGGAACAAGAGCTGTTGGCACTGCAGCCAGCTTAATTGGCTGAAGGCAACTAGTGAGGAAGGGAAATAGAAACATGGCATTAGTTGGTTTGTTGATCCTCTGCTTTGTGATTAGCTTCGATATGTCCCACTCTTGCCAGAATGCTGACGACTTTGTGGGTGCTAGTTCTCCTGGGGACATTGTTATTGGAGCTTTATTTGCAGTTCATAGGAAAATGCTACATCCAGATGAATACTCCGTAAGACCAGTGTTTCAGAATTGTGTTGGGTGAGTAATTTTGCAAACACCACAGATGAAATACCAGAATGATTTTGCTAATATCAGTCAGGTAAATTTCAGACTAGAAGACTCAAACACTTCTCAGTAAATTGCATCTCTGAATAAACTACTTCTTATAAAGAGGTGAGTCCAAAGCACCACTCTGTGGAATGAGGTGAATAATTGCATAGAGTATGGCAAAGACAAGTTCACCAGAAGGTATTATGGGCCAGGTGCATTTGAGGGATGACTCTCTTTTTGTTCACCTGTCCTTATGTGCAGATTTAACCAAGTAGTGTTGGAGCTTGAGGGTGAGCAGCCTTTGTATTTCAGTTATTGGTTTTATTTTGATTAGTTATTTGCCTAAAGTACTCTGCTCTGCTATCATGTATTATTTGGAATGAAGTAGCGGTTAAAAATAAAATGGACATAGACACATTCATGGAAATGTGTCCTTTCATCTTAAACCTGAGGCAAACCATCCAATATCACTGTGAGTTTGGGGCTTGAAAAACCTCAAATTCTGAATAGAAAAATCAGTTGAAACTTTTAGGTGTTAACTGGTTTGACTTCAGAATCATAATACAAAATTGAATGTTTTAGCATTGGTGTAAATTTAATAAACTGTTGCAGCTCTAGGTTGAAACTAAATTCATGTTTACTCAAAAAACCTTGAAAGTTTTAGAGAATCCAGCCTGAGGTCAAAGTTGGTATATTTTAATTGTGGATATGTTGCATTACTCTAGAGTTTGATCCAAAACCTACTGAAACCAATGAGAATCTTTTTATTAACTCTAGTGGGCTTTGGATTAGGCTTTTAAAACCCCTAACTGAACACTGGAGATCAGAACCTCTGAAATAGTGTCTTTTCTATAGTCCTTTCTTTTTCCTAATTCAAGCTTATGTTGGAAGAGTATTCTTCAGATAGAAAAATTATGATCATTTTGCCAGCTCCTCAGCTGGAGTATACTGGTGTAGTTCCAATGAATTCAATAGAGCTCTGCAGATTTGCCTGAGCTAAGCAACTGGTTAATTACTGCCTGCTGCTTGACAGCTGAGAATCTGGTTGTGTTCTGGTTTTGTATTTAATATATTTTTTTATTTAAATTGTATTAAGGGCATTGCGTTTTTTTCGTTACACCTTGCATTTGGATGTGAATCAAAAATACACAGTGAATAAGCTTCCCCCCTGCCCCCAGAAAATCACACACATAATGACATTTCATTTTAGTAATTTTACATTTCATTTTAGTAATTATCAAATACCAAGATATGAACTCCAAACAGTTCTTCCCTTTAATTTCTAAAGATATTAATTTTAAAATTGTGTTTTTTGTGTCAGTTTTGAAATTCAGGTGTTTCTTCAGACCCTGGCAATGATACATGCTATTGAAATGATCAACAATTCAACACTATTATCTGGAATTACACTGGGCTATGAAATCTATGACACTTGTGCAGAAGTTACAAAAGCCATGGGAGCAGCTGTGAGGTTCCTGTCTAAATTCAACACGTCCAAGGATGAGGTTGAATTCAAGTGCAACTATTCTGACTATATACCACGTGTTAAAGCCATCATTGGAGCCAGCTACTCTGAAGTAACAATGTCAGTTTCAAGGCTATTGAATTTGCAACTAATCCCACAGGTAGAAGGAATATTCTTATTTTGAATGCAGGATCAAATTAGCATTGGTATACATAGGAACAGCTCCAACCAAAATAAATGGGAGTTGCGCATGTGCATGCCAGAGTTGGATTTGGCTCAAAGGCTTTCTGGGGTCTTCAGGAATCAATGGGGAAGATGCTAACCTGACAATATCATATGAATTATAGGATAGAAAGCTGCAGGACAGTGGGGCATGATGGTTGTTGAAAACCATGGAACTAGTGAGCAAAGGGAAAGTGATCTAAAGTCTGTTGTTTCCAGAGACATCAAGCTTGGCCTGAGGTGATTTTGCTAATGTCTTGTCATCTGTTGCAAGAAAGATAAAGTTCTAATTTGAACAGATTCAGGGTTTGGTCAAACTGTGCACAGGGTGTTCAGGAAGGTTGGTATAAACCACCTTTCTACTCCTGCAGTCTTTGGAGGAGCCAAAGACTACTGGAATATATAGCTCCCCAGGTTCACTGCATCCCTTCCCTAAACATCCTTTTCCATCCTCAGCACACTCCCTACATACAGGGAGTGGAACTGGTGAGACTACTTAGATGCTGAAATCTAGGCATGCATATAAGTACCTGCCTTTGGTACTTTTGCTCCGTCAGACTAAAAGGATGGAGTTAAGGCCAGGATCTAGTCCTGACCATGTTAAAGGAAATTCCTTCACACTTAAACTTGCTGCATCTGCTGCTGAAAGTAGAGCATACAGCATCTAGGCTAGAAGGTAGGGTCACAGTAAAGAGATAGAAAAAGACATAGTAGTATCATGGAGTCCAGCCAACCACTGTAGCAAGAAATGGTCATTCTGCACGCCCAACAGATGTAGCAAATATTAAACTTAACACTCCATCTGATCTTATTCAAAAGCTATCTTGCAGTGAACCAAGTCTTGCATTGTCACAGGCAGTGTGAGAATTAAGGGGAGGTTCGGGGGCTGATCCCCCTCCCCCCCCCCATAAGAGATGAAAGCCCCCCCTGTAAGATTTGAAAATCAACCTGGGGAGAGGGTCTCCGATTGGTTTGCTCCTTCACTTTGGTGATTTCATTATCAATGAACCATAAGACCCAGGAGTTCAGCACACTTCACTTCTGGTAGGAGGTAGGAGATACTGTCTCTACAAACCATTCTTTCTTGTCAGCTTTAATAAGCAGAAATGAAGACTATTCTTAGTCCTGGCCTGGCCTGGTGGCTAGAACATGTTGCTGGGAAGTGGGAGACGCTCTGCATGAGGAGAGCCAAGCGCTCTCATCTCCCACTGCCTGGGCCAGTGTCCCCACTTTTAGGTAATTAGACTAAAAGGTAAGTGAGTTGCTGCTCTTCCTTTCTATCACACAGTCGCTAATCATGTGCTTAATATATGAGGGGTTGCACAGGGTAACAAGCTTTCCCTGGTAGAATAAAATCATCTGCTGTACTGGTGTGGACCTTTTCTGAGCATGCTTGGAAAGGTAAGGTGAGGTACAGGATATCAGAGAGAGAAGAGGAGGAAGCACGTTCTAAAAACCAGGTAAATGCCCCCAAATGCCACTTACGCAGCCAAAGTTAGGCACCTAGTTGCCCGTACACATTCCAGGAGGCTGCTCCGACCTGTGCTTACAGCGCCTTGAAGCAGAATTGATTAATTGAGTCTGCTGGAGCATGGTAATTAGCATACTCCAGCCAGCCTTTGCATCTCATGTATCAGCATCTCTGCACTTCAAAATGGTGGTGGGGGCACTTTAACTAAAGCTCGTTTGACAAGTTTTAAATAAAGCACCCCTGCCGCCATTTTGAAGTGCAAGAATGCTAATACACAAGATGCTCTGGCCCTTTAATTAAAGTGCCCCACCCCCAGAGCACATGTATAAACATCCCTAAGTATTACTTACCTGCCTGAAAGGGAGCTGGATTTGGGCCTAAGCATCTGGCATACTTGGGAGCAGTAAGGGGTAGGGAGAAGGCACAGCAGGGCCATGGAATGGCAGAGCTGCAATACAATGTTTTGGTTGACCCTGGGCTACTCAAAAAGTCTCCAAGAGTAGCCTGTAGCTAGCCCTTATATGGTCAGAGGCAGAAAGATGGCTTAGAGCTACCTCTATCTTCATCTGTAACAAGTTCACACTTGGAACACCAATTGGGGCAACCCTAAGCACATTAAAAGAAAGCAGTTGTACTGGCTTTGGATCTCTTAGCATCTACTCAGAATTTCTGTAACTATTTACTCTGTCCCTTTCTAGGTGAGTCAGGCATCCTCTGCTGAAATCCTCAGTGACAAAATCCGATTTCCTTCCTTTCTACGTACTGTGCCTAGTGATTTATATCAGACAAGAGCAATGGCCCGCTTGATCCATATGTCTGGGTGGAATTGGATTGGAATCATAGCCACTGATGATGATTATGGGCGCTTTGCTCTGGAGAGCTTTGGGATACAGGCCATGGCGAACAACGTCTGTATTGCTTATAAAGAGATGTTACCAGCCTTTCTCTCTGATAGCACCATTAATGCCAAAGTTAATCAAGCATTTGAGAAGATTATCGAGGAAACCAGGGTAAACGTAATTGTTGTTTTTATGAGACAATTCCATGTGATGAGACTATTTCAAAAAGCCATTGAGAGGAACATAAATAAAGTCTGGATTGCAAGCGATAACTGGTCAGCTGCTGTCAAGGTTAGCATGATTCCCTACATCAAGCGCCTTGGAACAGTGGTGGGATTTGCATTCAAAAGTGGAAACATATCTACATTCCATGACTTCTTGAAAACTCTGCATGCAAAGCCCATGGAAAATAACAAGTTTCTAAATGAATACATGCTACTTTTGTCCGCCTGTGCCCATGTAAAGGACCAGGAATTGAATAACTGCATTTCAAATTGCACCCAGGAGAGTTTAATGTACAAGGCTGGAGAAAACAATCAAACCTTGAAAGATGATTTTCTGATTGCCAACATTGAGCCTGGATTTATCCACAGTACTATGCTGGCAGTCCAAACTATTGCATATGCCATTCGGGAGCAGTGCCAAGACAGGAATTGCAAAAATCCCTTTGCTTTTGCTCCCTGGGAGGTACGGGTAAATTCTTCTTTGCTGCTTCTTCTATGTGCATTCTTCATTCCCTTGTATTTCTTCCTTGCTTCTTACCCGAGTTGACCAGCCAAACACTTGTGTCTTCTCTCACTGCGTAGTCTAGTCTACTTCCTGTTAAGTCCCTTCTTCTTCATTGCCTATAGATCCATCATCTTGGATACAAAGAATTATCTAACTCAAGTGTGGCTAACAGGTGCTACACTTGCCACAAGTGGCACAGACAGCCTCTTTGTGTGTCACATGGCAGATCAGGGAGAGGGCAGGCAGCACAGCAGCAAACAGAGCAGAAAGCAGAACAGCAAATCAGGCAGGGAGCAGAATAGCAGATTGGGCAGGGAGTGCAGGAAGCAGATAGCAAAGCAGCAGATCAGGTAGGGGAAGGGGATCAAAGTGTCAATCAAGGAACTTTTGATTGAAAGTTAAAATGATTTATTTTGTGTGTGTTTGTGTTAACCCTGATTTCTCCTGCTGTTTCCTCCACAAAACCATCCTCAAAATATAGATTCTAGGCAGAGTGAGCTATGAGAAAACCAGACACTATTTCTTAAGGGTGGGTAAAGTACATTGCCTAAAATCTATCTGTTTTCAGAATCATTTTGGTGAGGAAACAGAAGGAGAAATCAAACCAATAAATCTGACCTGACCTTTTTACCCAAGTACTTTGTCAGGACTATTCACTTTTACACACTTTTACTAAGAGAGTTAAGCAAAGTTCATTCGAAAGGCAAACAAACACTGATGGCCCCTGACCTGATGTGATTGCTTCTTCCAGAGCAGAACAGGTCAAACCAAGATAGGATGTAAAGAAAACAACAAATATCAATCTCCTACATAAATGGCCAAATTCAGGCATGGGGAAAGTAGATATTATAAACTCCAGTGAATTTGAACTCTCATTATGTCTCAGTTTAACTCAAAACCTACTGGAGTAGCTAAAGACCCAGAACATGAGGAGAAAGAGAGGTGACTTAACCCTTTGAACTGGTTTGAAAGTGTATCCCCCAAGAATTTATACTTTAACTATACCAAAGAATATATAGATAAAATTTAGGCTGAAACTGAATCCTGGACACAGAACCATGTACTGAGGAATGAGGACATCAGGGAAGTTTCAACTCTTGCAATAATTATTATAACTAATAATAACAAATTAGACACTTTGAGCTGAAGTTCTCATAACCAATAATGTAACTGGGGAGGAGGGGGAGAGATAACCAGGGGAGCTGCCCCAGGCACTGCCTTTGTAGTGGGGCACAAAAATAGCCACTGCCGTGGCGGACTGCACTGCTGCCATTGGCACCATGGCAGCTGGCACTGCCCTGTACATTGCGGCTGCCCTGCTATGCTTCAACTAAAAATGTATTGTAAAACTCTCTTATTGTGTCCCCTTTTGAAACCAATGATACACCTGAAGTACAAAAAGGTCACATGATGTGCCCAGGGACATGCACAGTGGTTATAATCTCCTGTTCCCTCTTATACCATGACTAATGTAGTAGACTATGTCCAACTGGAATGTAAATGTACAAATTAGAACCCCATTTAGACACTCTTGTAAAATGGAGGAAAATGAGGTGTGGATGACTGCATCAATAAAATAAATGATGTTTGTTCTCATGGCTCAGTTTCATATAGCCATGGCATTTGTGGATGGCATTATGCTATAATGATGTAATAGTCTATTGCAAAACCATGGCTTCCAAACCAGGACTCCAAAGAGATAGGGCTTTTCAATAGACTTCAACTGAACCATCCATCCAGACCTCATTCTGTTGACATTAATTTAACCTTTCACACCTAAAGTTTTTACTCATGCCAGGTAAAGTAGGTAAATTTCTGTCTAAACTAAGAAGCATGGAATCAGTGACTGTAATATTACTTACAGGTCCTGTCCTCTGGGACAATGATGAATGAATGATGTGTGCCTTAACAAACCTTTAATTTGAGGGTGGAAACAGACTTTACCTTTGTGCTGCCAGAAATTTTTTTATGGCAGAACAAAAGCCAAGCAAACAGATGGCCATGCCCGCTGTCGTGCCACAAATGCCCATAGTTTGTGGCAGCAACACAGGTGGTAATAGTTTCTGCTGCTTTATTGCAGCAGATGTTTGCTTGCTTTATGCATAAGCTTAGGCAGCCCAGAGATGCTTGCACTCTCCAGGTGCCCCAGGCAGGCACCCCCGTGGCTTGAAGCCCCAGATCCTATGTGCCCTGAGAATTCCCATACAGGATTGGGGCCTTTAATCCCCTAGAGACCCTGCTCAGCTTTCTCCTGTTACAGAGGCACACCCTGGGAAATCTCTTTGTAAGCAGAGAATCCCTGCTTTCTCTGCTTACAGTAACACACTGCAAAGATTCCCTGGGGCACAGCTCTGTAGGTGGAGAAACTGGGTTTCTAAGTTTAGAGATGTGCCCTAGGGAATCTCGAAAGAGCATCTCTAAGCTGGGTTTCCTCACTTAGAGATGCACTCTGGGGAATCTCTGAGCTGTGTCTCTAAGTGGGAAAATTTGGGGTTCCCTGCTTACAGAGACCTGCTCTAGAGATTGCCAGGGGCACATCTCTGCAAACAGGAAACCTTGGCTTCCCGGTCTTCCAGAGACACACTCTGGGGAATCTCTGAGGTGAGTCTCCGTAAGCAAGGAACGTGTTGTTCATTGTCCTACAGGATCAGGCCCCTATCTGGTGCACAACAATGGGCAAAGTGTATTTTGCTCATTGAAGTGAACACATCCTGCCACAGCTGATCCACTTCATTAGACAATACCGCTTTATAGCCTGACTTTCTGTGATGAGAAAGGGTTAACATTTTATCCTGAGAGAATCAGACCAGTGTTATACTATAAAACCAATTCATTGTCTTAATGCAGCACTTCTGTTCTGATACTCCTTCTAGCATAGAAAATACAACATTGTCAGCTGCTGTCAGGCAATTCAGCTTCCATAATATGAATTAAAAAGAATCACATAGGGCTGGGATGTCAATCTTAACTGGCCCTCCAGGCCAGATACAGGCTACTGGGCTCCTTACAGGCCAGATCTGGACCTACTAGTGGTGGTGAGGCAAGTGGCAGTAGCACAGGGGCTAAGGTAGCCATCACTGCCCCCACCCCGCTACATGTGTTTCCAACAGGCCTTTGTACCCAGGAATTGGCCACAGGCACCATCCCTACTCACCCTGCCTCTGAATTCCTGGCCTTCCCAGGAGCCCCACAGCCCAGATGAAATGGCTCTGCAGGCTGGATCCAGCCCAGGGACTGTATCTTTGGCACCCCTGACATGTTTTATCATAGAAACATGGATTTGAAGCTCTGGCAGCTCTACAGACTTGCAATTCTGGTAGTTTCACAAATCTAGAAGCAAAGAACTTTGTCCAAGAAAAACTTTTTTCAATTTAACAAATATTCTGTGTGAAATGTTACCTACTAAGTCTTCTAATGTTCAAACCACAGGACCAGATAAGAGATGCAGGCTGTACTGAAGGTGCTGATTGCTATATAATGCTCAAATCAGAAGAAGCCCACTATTCAAAAAGCATTTCTAATTTTGGGTATCCGGCCTGAGACAGCCAGAGTCTAATATTCAGTGTTGTTGAATATTGAATTCTCTAAGGCTCGGCCCCTCTAGAAAAAGACCAAGTGTCTTTAAACCTAAGCATCTAGAAAACTGAGGTACCCAAATGTATAGGCTACTTTTGAAGTGTTAGGACTCAAGTTCTTTGTAACTTAGGCCCCAACTCTCCTTTCATGTACACCAGTGAAATTTAGAAGTAATTGCCCTAAACTGCATGCTTAGACCAGGGATTTACTATTATATTTGTGCACGTGACAAAATAAATTGACCTAATCAATGTGTTTTCAAAAGAATGGTTCCTTGATTTTGTTCATACAGAATGTGGAAAAGCACAAATATTTTAATGACTAGCAAGAATATTAACTTCAAATATCCTTCCCAGCTCTAGGCATTAGGTGACTCATCCTAAGAAGAACAGTTTCAAAGGCTAAGGCTCATACAGACTTGAACATGATCAGAGCTTTGGGTAAGATTAGGTCTGGATCCAATTTGAATCCAAACTTAGTCCATCTCTAGGTTGAATGTAGCTGTACAACAGCAGCTGGCATCAGGGCAGATTTCCTACAAAAGGAATAATTCTGAAGGCCTCTTTATCCCTTGTCAGCAGGTAAAACTACATTTTAAGGACCATAAATCAATATATTTTAAGGCTATAGAGGCTGCTTTCACTATCTAGTCTCATCTGCTGCATCATGTCATTTTATAGGAAGAGGCCAGACTAGAAAATTGTAATGGTCCCTTCTGACTTTAAAATCCCTATACACCTAAAAAAAGTAGTGTTTTTATCTACATGTGGCCATATAAAAAGATCATTTGTTCCAAGCTGAAATGGTATTGATGTGTGCCATGTTTATTATTTTTACTGCTATAGCTTCTTGAAAAACTGAAGAAAGTCAAAATAACTGACCGTGAAAAAGAAGTTCATTTTGATGCCAAAGGAGACATGAACACTGGGTATGATGTGCTCCTCTGGAAGGAAATCAATGGGCAGATGGAGATCACCAATATGGCTGAATATGACCTGCAGAAAGATGATTTTATCTTCCCAGATGAAGAGAAAAAAACTGAATTTTTGAATTTAAAGGTATTTGGCACACATGCTCTTAGTTTGTCAAACAGTGGTGTGTAGAGTTGCATATCCTCCTCTGGCAGTATCTCGCACTTCTAGTGTGTATTAACTATTAATCATTTATGGGCTTACTATTACTAACAAAGATTCCTCCTAACTCTTAGTGCTCAACTGTCCCATTACTTTCATTAAAATTCTGCCACCCTCATATACGCTAAGTAGGATTTGAATGTGAGAGTAAACTCACAGTTTTCAATTGAAATATATCTCAAATTCCTCCATAAGATGTTTCCCTATCAGTTTACCCATTATGTCTGTCATAAGGATTATTCATAAGAACTTTAAAGTATCGTTCTAATAGAACAAGTCACTATATAGGAACATAATTTTTGTAGCACATCCTTTTTTCTTTTTCAGTATTAGGGGTCTTATATGATCAAGTTGGTCTTGTTGTATGATCAAGTTGACCCTGCAGGGTCAGCACAGCTAAAAGCAAGTGAGTTAGATTGCTTTACATTTGCTGTATTACCCTACTGCCACCAGTAGCACTGTATAGCAGTTTCAACCATTTCCATTTGTCCATTCTCATTTCTTTCAGTGCCATTACAGGTTATAACTTGATTGTGCAACTGTGATTGAACACCTATTCTGTCCTACAAAATTGTTATTACTGATAAGGCATGCAATTTGTCTTGGGAGAGTCGCTGCTCTTCCAGGAGAAACCACAAGTGTATACATGTTCATGCTTTTTCTCCCAGAGCGAAAATGGCTGCTCCAGGAGGAAAATAACCTAGGAACAACCTGAGTTAAATCGCTCCCAGGAGAGTGAATGTCTGTACATGCTTTGGCTTCTCTCAGGAGAGAATATAATCCTCCAGCATCCCTCTTCCCCCATGCCTACAAAGACTGTGTGTCTCTTGCTGGACTTTGCTGCTCCAGCAAAGAGCAGAACGGGCCCCTTCACAATCCCCACATTGTGCTTCAGGGAAACACAGGCTGACCATGGGTAGTCTGGGTCAGGCAATCAGGACTGACCTATGCACTGCTAACATCTGTTGCCAGACAGACTAAGGGAACCTGCAAAGCATGCTAAGATATATGCACAGGGTCCCCCCTGTCTACACAGTGTCAGCACTGTGGGATCTCCATTTTCTAGGGCAGCAGTTTTCAAACTGTGCACAGTCCCCTGGGGGGGGGCGGTGTGGAGGAACATGGGGAGGCTGGGCACAGTGCAAGGGGGCACGGGCAAGAAGTTTGCAAGAAAGTGGTGCCACTGCAGCCTCATGAGGGAATGTGGGGTCTGTGAGCCCCAGTCAGGCTCCTCCAGCAGGCTGCTACACCTCTGGGAGCCCGATGTGGCAGGTGCACAGCCTAGAGCTGCAGTGAGGCCATTGCAGGAAGCACGGAAGTGGCAGCAGGTGGAGCCCACCCCACTGAGCCAAGCTGAGCCCCAGTGGCTGCTAGGATGAGAGGTGCTCTGTGCCTGACTGCACTGCTTTGAGGGGTGGGGTCAAGCATGAATGTAAACATAACTCAAAGTGGGGGCTCAGCTCAAAAAGTTTGAAAACTGCTGCTCTAGGGTCTCAGTACTCAAATATCTGTACACACGGCTCTGGGTAAATTTTTCTACCAGGAGAACAAAACTGGGAGAATTCTCCAGGATTATTGGAATGTATGTACCTAGCCAATGATAAAAGCAGGGAAAGACAGAAGCCTGCATGAGATTAAGGATCAAATGTTTAAAATCAGCAAAATCCTGAATCCAATATGGATTTAGGCACCTAAAATGTATGCAGTTCTCCACTCAGCAGGTTAGACTTTCATGCAAGGCTGGATGTAGTGGTTCTACCACCTGGGAAGCAGAGTCTGCATCCCTGAGGGCCAGCATCTCTGCCTTTTCTTATATTATTTTATTTTAAAACATGGCCAGAGAAAAGCAGTTGTGCTTTTCTGAAGTAGTTTAAGGTTAAAGCATTCACAAAGGAAGTGGGAGATCCAGGTATAACATTGTCCTCAGAATGTTTCCATATTCCTCATTAAGCTGTCATTCAATAAAATACAGATGCAGTCCTTGGAACAGAGACAAACTTTGCCCTTTTCCAGATAAGTGCCCTAAATACCAAGTTACAGAGAGTGGTGTCCTTTTGCATCATCTGTCCTGATCTCTCTTTGTGACCAACAAGTTGGTTTCTACATAAGTTTAACCAGATGGCTGAGGAACACTCCTCGCGTCCTACATAACCTACATCCTGGTACTTAAGGCATTCCTTTGGGGAGGTGGGAGATTTGGAGCTGAATGTCTCAAGCTGTTAAGAGAATTGAATTTGAGTCTACCATGTTGTATCACCACTGGAATAATATATAAAATAGAACACAGCCCCCACATTTTGTGTGGAGCCCAGTCCTGTAGTTGTATGCTGTGGTCTGGGAATGCCTGCCAAATCAAACCCTTGGATGGTGGAAGTTCTAGGTGTAACTTTAGGTACTTGGGCAACTTTTAAGTCATAAAGATGCCTACGTACTTTAAATGCCTCTAGGAACAGGATTTGGTTGAACAAGAGTTTTCATAATTGCAATATGGGTGTAGATGCCTGAATTCCTTCTAAAATTCCATTGAAAGCATGGAAGTGTTAGAAACCTAAGTCCATTTTAAAAAAGACACAGAGGCCAGATCCAGACGTGCAGGCACATGTGGTTTGTGGCACCACAAACCTTTTTATGGCACTACAAACCACATTAAAATGTGCCCTGCACTGCAAATTTGCAGCATGGGGTCAAAATTTACTATCAGGAAATCCCAGGAGCAAAAAACCAAAATGCTGCAAAAAAAGCAGTGCAGCACATACCACAGGAGTGTGCACTAGCAGACACAGTGCTGGCCAGAGGGTCTCCCCTCTTCTACTTCCACCCTGGCTCCCCCAGCATGTTGGGAGCTGGAAGGAGTGGGGAAATGGCAGTTTCTCCAAAGCAAGACACTTTACCCTGCACCAAAGTACACATGCAGGGGTGTGTGCAGCTTTGTGCTGCTAATTTTTGCCACTGCAAGAGCAAACCCCTGCATGTGGGGATACACCCAAAGTCAGTATTTAGGCACCTAATTTCTACTGATGTGAGCTACCTGCCTAGGAATCTGCATAAAAATCAATGGGACTTGAAATCTTTTCAAAATCTGCCCACTGTTTTACTGGTAATGCACTGAAATCCAATTAGCATGGAATCCCACCCTGGAATGTTATAGAGTTCTTTGCAGGATCTTTGACACATCTTTTAAGTTCAAAAGCTTGATCCAAATGCAGAATGAGATGAGCACTGTTTATTCTAAATGGAAAGTGTTCTTAGGAATTAATTGTGCTTGGGCCGCTTTTTTGTTTGTTTTCTCCACAACATTGCAGAAATTTTGGTCAAAATGTTCCCAGGAATGCAGGCCAGGGCAAATGAAGAAGGTTACAGCAAGTCCACACACATGCTGCTATGAGTGTGTGTATTGCCCAGAGAACCATTACAGCAATCAGACAGGTAAATAACCGCGAGTCAAATAAAGAGACCCATACAGTTGTTTTAAGTATATACAGCTATATGCCTTGGTAACTGGAAAATAACTTTGTAATAAGCAAAATATATTTGTATATGTTTACATGATTTTAAAAAAGCAATTGCATGTTCCAAAGATAAAGCAGCTAGATGCCCCAGTTGACCAAGGTTGATACATGGGTTCAGGAGGAAAGGTATGAGCTAGAGTAAGGTGGAGGATGTTCTGGAAGATTGTGGCGTAGACTCTTGCTCCCACTGAAGCATGAATTTCCTAACTGCACTGCTCTCTATCTGCTTTACCAAATGAATAGTAATTGCAAGATGCAGTGTCTCAGCTTCAAAACATGCTGGAGAAAGTACTGAATAATGTTTGACCTGTAGCCTGGTGGTTAGAATACTGTGCTGAGAAGTCAGTGAACTACAGATTCAAATACCTTCTGGGTGAGGAGTAGACCTAGAACCTGGGCAAGGGCCCTAACCACTCAGCTAATGGGGCTGCAATGTAAGAGTAGTCTTCTTTGCCCCCCTCTCCCTTATTTCTTCTGGGACTTACCCTTAGGTATATACATAGCTGAAGTGGGGTTTGAAAGAGGATGGAGCTAGATTGTTTTCAGTGTTGGCAGATGCCAGAACAAGGAGCAACCATTGCAAGTTGCAGCACGAGAAGTTTAGGCTAGATATTAGGAAGAATTTTCTCACTAGGAGGGTAGTAAAACACTGGAACAGGTTACCCAGAGTGGTGGTGGAAGCTCCATCCTTGGAGGTTTTCAAAACCCAGCTAGACAAAGCTTTGGCTGGGATTATCTAGTTGGGGATGGCCCCTCTTTGAACAGGGGGTTGGACTAGATGATCTCCTGAGGTCCCTTCCAACCCTAATTTTCTATGATTCTATAATATTTGCCTGTCTCGTGCATAGCCCACTATGCATGCTCTATAGTTGTGTAGATGCTTATATGTCCACATTGCACAGGTATCAAAATCCCAAACTATGTTTACCTGCCAAATATGCAACTTCTGTTCCTGAAAAATTGCCATTTACTTGCATAAAGCAAAATAGAATTCTGTCTTACATTTCTCCTGCTTGAGAGCTCTGAACAAATGTTCTGTCTCCAATAATCTGTTTAGACATTGGGGGTCTTTTAAAGTGATTTCCATTTTTCCATTTTTAGATATGGATCACTGCTATCTATGCAACAACAAAACTCACTGGTCCCCTGTGAACAGTACTAGATGCCACAAAAAGACAGTACAGTACCTCAACTGGAATGACTGGTTTGCTGTTTTGCTACTGATCCTCTCTGGACTTGGGGTTGTTTTGATTGTTATAATTAGTGCAATATTTACTAGATACCTAGACACCCCAGTAGTAAAGGCATCAGGTGGTTTAGCAATCTGCTATGTTATACTCCTCTGCCACTTCTTCATTTTTTTTAGCACTGGCTTTTTCATTGGTGAACCAAGGGAATTCAAATGTAAAACAAGGCAAGCTCTCTTTGGCATAAGTTTTGTCCTCTGCATCTCTTGCATTTTAATGAAGTCACTTAAAATTTTACTGGCCTTCAGCTTTGATCCCAAGATTCAGAATTTCCTGAAGTCTCTCTACAAGCCTATTCCCATAGCAGTGACCTGCACTGGAATTCAAGTTATCATTTGCACTTTCTGGGTAATATTTAGAAGCCCTTTTGTTGAACAAAATTTTTCCATTCGTGAAGTTATTATACTGGAATGTAATGAGGGTTCTATTGTGGCTTTAGGAATCATGTTAGGTTATATAGCTACTCTGGCTTTTATTTGCTTCATATTTGCTTTTAAAGGTAGGAAACTACCAGAGAATTACAATGAAGCTAAATTCATAACCTTTGGCATGCTCATTTATTTCATAGCATGGATTATATTTATCCCTGTCTACACGACTACGTTTGGCAAATACCTGCCTGCTGTTGAGATCATTGTCATTTTAATATCAAACTATGGAATCCTCTGCTGCACCTTCCTTCCCAAATGTTATATCATACTGTATAAGCAAGAGGCAAATACCAAATCTGCTTTTCTCAAAACGATTTACAGCTATTCTTCCAAGAGTGCAGGCAGCCTTACTGTTAGCCAGATTTCTTTGGAGACCAAGTGTCCAGTCCCACAGTTTCCAATCACAAACTCTTGTTGTAAATCAGAAAAAATCTCTGTGAATGGCAACTACCATTTTCAGATGCCTGGGCAGAAATTAATAAGAGGGAAATTATCTCCAAAAAATGTAGCTGGGATAATGCCCAGGAAGAGGTTGTCTAGCATTTGACTATGGAAAACTGGCCAGATAGGGAATGAACCCTTTTAGTGAAACAGGCTCTTGGTCTCCTCTCCTTCTAGTCTCCCTAAGGACCCTCTCCAGCCTCCATAAGGTGTAGTGTTCTAGTATGCAGGAAAAAAACTGCAGGTGGACATCACTAGTTTAGGAGTTGCCTTCCTGACATGCAAAAGGAAAACATGCCCTTTATTTTACAGAAATAGGAGAGTGAAAGTGCTCAAATAATATGGGACTGGAAGGGACTTTTGGGGGCATGGAGTCTAGTCCCTGCCATGGCTGGCAACCACATCATATCATCCCTCCAAAAATGTATGCCGCTGCACTCCATGGTAAAATAGTGACTGTTTTTTTCATCCCAACTTATCACTACTTTTGTGAGTAGAACCCTTCTGATTCTCAGTCTGATTTTCACCTGAGCCAACACTGCCCTTTAGCTTAAATACCTCTTCTTCCTTCCCCTGAACTCTTTATAGAGAGTAATCATACTTCCTCTCAGCCTCAATTTTGCCAAGCTAACCACACTAAACTCTTTTAGTTTCCTCTAATAAGGCAGTCTCTTATTCCCTGCTAGCCCTTCTCTGCACCTGTATAGATTAGACTGAATCATTTTTAAATGTGGATGCCCAGAATTACAAACAGTATTCCACATGTGGTCTCATTAGGGTCTTGAACAACGGCCTTAAATTTCCCTATACTTACCATGGAAATGAATAGTCAAGAAGACAAACCAATTTAAATATTAAGGACAGCTATGTAACTACAGTAATCTTTATCCTCCTTCTCTCTACCCCCTCCCCTCCAGTAGTATAGTTATAGTTCCAGTGTATGCCAAAGAAAGACTCTATTAAGATAGAGGTATCAAACTCATTTTGGGTCCTGGGTTGGATTTGGACCACAGGACTCCTTATGGATCAGATCCAGCCTGGAGCATGAGGAAGAGACAGTGGTCAAAGCCAGCATGGCAGTGGCAACAACAGCCATTGCAGCAACAGCAGCACCTACCACATCCACCACAGTTTCAGTGGCCACTGCAGTGGCAGTGGTAGAAGCCGTGGTGTCCCAGGTGGCTGTAGGGTGATTAAGGGCTGTGTTGGATGGCTCTCATTCCCCCCCTGCCACTGATGCCCATGTCCACTGGGACCCTGAGGCCCCAGATCCTGCAGCAGCCTATGTCCCCTTCTAGCCATGCCTCCAAACTCTCCAGCTTACTGTGCTGCATCCAGCTTTCAAATCATGTGTTTGACATCCTTGAATTAAGGGAAGCTGCCCTAGATTGCTTGTCCAGAGCTGTTGTCTTGTCCAAAGAAGGTAGAAATTTGTATTCAAATTTATTATTAGCATGCACTTAGCAATAAAGAATTCTCTGAAATAAATAACGATGGATAAAATCTATGCAAAAAGAGTTAGGGAGATCTTACCTTTTGTAATAGTATAAAAGGCTGATCTTAAAAACAACAAAACAGCATCTCTGACACCCAGCAGTAGCACAAATGTTAACTAACATTAATTAAAGATTTGTCCATGTGAGAAAAGCCTCTGCTGCCTAGGTGCACTAGTAGAGCCCCCTGGTAGATATGCAGTGTACTCTGTCAGAAAGGGTGAATCCAGATGAGCATGCACATCCAGTGGCATATTCGTGCCACCGCTTTGTGCCCCAGGGCACACCCCTACACCTGCACTTCAGTGCATGCCAAATCATCCCAGGTTGGGTAGGG